GGTGGCCACCGCCCAGCTGGGGGCACATACATCATATTTATTTTATCCAGAGGCAGAAGACTCTTCAGCCTGCCAAGCTGCCAGCTTTATGGGTTAAAAGTGCCACGTTGGAAAGCTGGGGTCCTGCTGCAGAAGATTACGTGCCCACCCTCTAGTAAGCCTGAGCTTTACTTCAGGGAACACTGTGTGTGTGTGTGTGTGTGTGTGTCTCTCTCTCACTCTCTCTTCTTTTTTTGGTGATGGTAGGGTGCGGCAGGGACCTCTTTCTTTTTTGATATTCCCTGAATCTTAATTGTTTCCCTTCCATAGAAAAGCCTGGGGCTTTCCAAGCCCTTGGCGAGGGATTTGTGTGTCCTAGTCCAGCCAAGACTGTCCCCATAGCCTACACCAGCCAGGCAGCCATCTGGAGCGGTGCCTGGGCCGATGGAGTTCAGCCTTTGTTATGTAACAGTTTATTCCTGAATTGTGTTTTCTCACCAAATCAGTGTGTTTTCATGGAAATACAGGTGTTTCTTTGGGTCAACAGTTCCTCTGTTGTCTTCAAGGGTCCCCCCCCCACCCCGGTGTGGCTTGCAGTTTCTCTGTGAGAGTCTGGGCTTTTATTTCTGGAATGGCTGGCTCTCCCCCACATGCTGTGCTGGGACACACACAAAGCAGTGTTGAATCGAGCCGTTTAGGAAGCTCCTCGTAGCATTCGGTTCACCATACCTCATTTGAGGACCATTCCTCCACTGGGATCCATGGGCTGTGACTGTCCCCAGGCCCACTCCTAGTAACGTGTGAGTATCAGAGCTCTGTCAGGGAGCAGCAGGCTTAGCCCCCCCCCCAATATCTGGGCAAGGCCCCCCACTCCGAATGGCCATTTGATAAAAATGATTTTGAATTGGTTGACTGGTCATTCTCATGCTGTGCACCCTGTTCCTCCTCCAGGGAATCATGTCCCAGTGGCCCAAGCACTGTGACCCTGATGATTCCCACTGTCGCCCCACTTCTGAGTGTTCCGCACAAGAGCAGGATCAGAAGCAATGGACAGATCAGGTCTACCTGCTGCTTCTCTGTCAGGAGGAATCGCAAAACTGATCTTTAGAAATCACTTCTCTCTTAGGCAGACCGCTTCTCAGCACCGGGGGTCCTTGGAGAGCAGTGTCTAAAGACTGCATCTCCTTCCGGCAGCCCTCCTCTGGTATCATCACTGTTTTGACCACTTTTTGTAATAAAAGCATTCTTCCCACCCAATAAAGAAAAGGTCATTGCTGTGAACCCCCCCCCCCACCAAAGGCTAGAGAGCTAGTTCCAGTTCTCCTGTTTGTGTGAATCCCTTCCCCAGAGAGGAGGATAAGGCACCTTTCCTCTGGGCGAGGTAATCACTTGTATTTGTGTTCCTGGAATGTAGCTGTTTTTTAGGGATGGCCTGGAGCCTTCCTACTTAGGAATGGATTCACCTCACAGTGTGGAAACCAAGCCTGGTCTGGCAGGTGAAGTATGGTGGGCATTTACCCCCCAAGTGTTTGCCAAATGCTGCCTGGGAAGAACTGGATGGCTCCCTAGTCAGGGGTCACCTTCATCTGACAGCTCCCCTCCCCCTTCAGTATCTCTTAGCTACCGGCAACATCTCTGTTGGACGGGGTCTATGGTAAACCATTTGCTTCTCTGGCAGAATGTGATGCTCTGGGGACACATGCAGGTATCCTACAGCAGTGTGGTCCACTTCCTGTTCCTGCGCTGTTCGACTCTCAAAATCAGGTACAAATGCAGAAACTTGGGGAAGTTTTCCATGGAGGACTCTGAGCTGCCTTCCCTGGGAAGCTGTCCTCACAAGCACCTCTTCCCCCACGCCCCCACGGCCTTTTGTTTCTTTTCCCTCCTGGGCTTTTCCCTGGACCCTACCTTGAGCCCCTCTCTTTTTACTCAAGGCTCAGGAGCCAGTTTGGATGTGTGTTTCATGTACATGTCATGACAGCCCTCCACTCAAATTCTTCAGTTCATTTCCTGCCAAGGCACGTCTCAGGAAAACCTCTGGAACCCCCTTATTATCCTACAGTCTTGAGCATTTGTTCCACTGGATTTAGTTAGAAAGGCATCTAGGGATTCTTTTCATGAGCCCCTTGGGTGGAAGGACCTTAGCAGCAAGCTGAAGCCATGTTTCTGTCTGGGGGGTGGGAGGGAAACCACAAATGAGGCGAGTAAATCATGTGGGAAAAAATGATTTGTTCCTGCCTGTGGCTGAGCTGCACGGCACTGATACTGCTCTGCGAACTGAGCTTCCCTGGTTCTGGCCTTGCTTTCCACCCGGGCCCCGTGTCGTCCCATCCCAGAGCAGTGACTGTCTACATAACGGTCAGCCCTTGGAGCACTTTTTTTGTAAGGTCAAAAGGCAACACACTTACACGTGGTTCTGATATCTCATGTGTCTGACTTACAGCCAAATCTGCTTGCCCTGGCAGCCTCAGCGGGAGTCTTCTCTAAATAAAAAGCTTCCGAATTCCTAGCCAAGTCTCTATGGCCATCTGAGTGGAATGTGTGGCCACTTCTTTAAAGAAAGGCGCTCTCAGTTCTAAATCCCTCTGTTGGGCTGGCCCCTGGTCTTCAGAATATCTGGTGACACTCTTTTTCCCTAAAGAGAGCAAACTGACACTCCATCCACACGGAGGCATTTGGCCGGGTGATACACCAAGCCTTGTTCTGCTCACACCTGAAATCGGCAGCGATCCTGTTGTGGGTGCGCCTCCCCACCTGCTGCTCTTAGGGAGGGAACAGAGAAGTGAAAGTCAGGCGAGGCCAGGTACTCAGCTGTCTAACAGGACAGAGCCCCCAAAGTGGGAGTCCGTTGTTTCCCACAGTATGCAGCTTTGGGGAATCTGGGGTGTTTAGTGCTTTAATCCCTAACAGTTTACCTCCATGGGGCTGTGTGAAGTCAGCTGTGCTCGTTCTTTTTACTCTTCTAAGTATTCACTGACTCCTTGGGAAGAACCACAGCTGTCAGTAGATCCTGGTGGGCAGGGATGGGTCCCAGCGTCCACATTTGGCCTTTTTGGCAGAGTTTTCAGTTTACCAAGAGCACTAACGTGGAAATACTTGGAAAAAAATCTCCCACATCTTTAAAACTCCGGTCTAACCCCCTTCCTCATCTGCTAGTCAGCTTTATCCACAAGGCCACAAGTGGTCAGTGATTTTTCTTCCTACCACAGTCTGAGGCTCTTCTTACCTTTCCTTAAGTGACCCAACAGCTCCACTGTTTTCAGAGGGAACATGTTAAGCTTTTATGAGATTCTATTTTCGGTAAGTTCATGCTACTGGGACACTTGGAGAAAGCAATGAGAGTCGTCGTCTATGCAAAAAACCACCAGGCTGACCCTAAGTTAGCAGATCTAAGAAAAGAGTGAAACAGTGTCCGGCTGCCAGACAGAATCTTACATCAGGAACTTGGGTTTTTGAGGACTTAAAATTGCAGAGACGTGCCATGGTCTGCACACCATAGCCCCCCACTGAGCGTACTGTGTGGATGACATGGCTTATGTGTGTACACTGGGGGTTTTCAAAGGACACTACATGAGCAGCCAGCCCCACCTGCCTCTTCTGTAAGTACTGTGGTGGCCCTTTGTCAGATCTGAGTGCCAGTCCAGGGAGCACTGCTCTTTCTAATCTACGATGTGATTTGTGTAAATAGTTTTAATTTTTCCTCTGTGTCTTAGACGAAGTTTTGTTTATGTAGCGACAAGGTAGACAGTGACCAAATGAGGCTGTAAACGTGCTGTTTTCTACTGTGATGTACTTGAAGGAGAATCTCGTGTCCTCCACTTTCCAATCTTCCATTGTATTTTGTGTTTGTTTGGGGAGTCTTGAAGTGGTTCTTTTACTCCTATTTTGCCTCTATTTTCTTTGTTTCTTCTGGAAACCCAGGGAAGCCCACAGTGGAGATCATCTGCAAGGAATGTATCATGGTCTGGGTTTCCAAAAAAAAAAACAAAAAACAAAAAACCAACCCTACGTACAGTGAATGAGAGGAATCTGCCTGAAAATGGTTTCAGAACCATGTACCTTTATGATTTGTGATTGTGAAACCCTGACTTTTGTAACCCAAAAATGAATACTGTTTAGTAAAGGGGACCTATTTTGTGTGTTTTGAAACTTAGGTGCAATGTTCCCTGGAAAAAGCTAAGGAAATGCATATGCTCAATGCCATTTTAAAATAAAATATTATATATCTGTATATAGGACGCCTTTAGCAAAACTTTTTGTGTCTTTTCTTTTAATGCACTAACAAGTTTCTTCATATCAGGTAATGGAATGAGATGAGTGTCATGGCCTCATGGGGGAGTCATCAACTGAACAGACTCAAAAGGAAGTCAGAAGGGAGTGGGTGCCAGCACTGTAAATCTTCACAGGAACTAGCAGTAAAGGCCGTACTTTTCACCAGTGCTTCTAGACCTACCATGGATATTACTCCCAAGAATTAGTTCCAACAGGTATTCTTTTATTATTTTTTTTTTGATTGAGGTATAACTGACATACAACATCATGTTAGTTTCAGGTATACACCATAATCATTTGATATTTGTACATATTGTGAAATGATCACCACATTAAGTTTAGAAA